GTTTGGAGTCTCAAGTTAGTGTCATGGAACAGACATATTATAGTTGTTTAAGAAGTGTTACTACCACCTAGTGGTAACTAAGCAGAATGTCTTTTTTGTAGAGGAAGTAATGTGCTCTTTAGCTGCTGCAGTGACAGCATTTGTAATCTGATGGCAATCTCTGCAATCCTGGTGTTAAAGTCCACAATATCGGCTTCATCCGTAAGTTCCTATACATTTAATGTGTATTAGTAAGTTTTGACACTGTTTTGAGTTAAATCATATGGAGGCAGGTAGATGCTTATATTTTTTTTAGCAGATGCTTCATCTGTGGTCGTCTTTTTCACTAGAGCAATGTTATTCTCCCGGTGTAATGGAACATGTCTTCATTGTGTATTTTGTATTCCTTTTCTTTGTACAGTTTTACAAAAAAAGAGAGAGAGAGAGAATTTATTTTCATCATTAAATCCTGCCAAACACAACAAGCGGCCTGTTTCTTGGAGGATGAAGTGCTGGGAATAAAGATTGTTAAGCTAGCTGTATAGCTGAAATTACGTTGCCTGGAACAAACTTCAGTGAGGACAGCATAGTTAGTGTGTTGTCTTGTGTAGTTAGTGTGTAGTGTAGTTGTTGTTTTGTTTTGTGTGTCAGTTCTACTAGTGAATGTCACAGTTGCTGCAAAAAAGCCACCAAAGGCAGATTGCTGTCTCCATGTGGAAAACAGGAGTGACACACCTGCTGTCAGACCTGCAGGATTTATCCCTGTGCTGTTCTCCTCTGTCTTATAGTGGACACAAACTATTTTTTGGACTGGCACAAATAATTTGTGTGCCTTCTTATTTGAGGCAGAACACCTGTATTGTAAATAGTTTTAAATGGTTATATAAAAACGTCTGAGCCTTGGCTGCATTTTTAGGTAAATAGTACCATATAACTTTGTTGTTTGCAAAAGTTGTGCATATTTTTTTTAAAAAAAATGTACAATTTGTATTTGCATTTCAAGTTATGAAAATGATTCGTTAAACATGTTTGTGGTTTTCACTGTCAAAAATATCACTTTTTTCTAATCGTATTTTGTTTGAATTTAGATAAATTTTGCATTATGTCAAAATGAGAAAATAACAGATTGGCAAGATAAACAGTTTAAAGGTGAAATATAGAGGCTAAATCAAAAGTAGTCAAAAGCAGCCAATTACACCCTGGACACCAGAGGGTTAGAGGCTAAAAGCAAAGTTTTCACCAAGTACTGTTTATATTTGTGTGTATTGCTGCAGCTTTTTTAAGTATTAACTTGGTGCCTTTGGGTGAAATAATGGTAATATGAGGGACCGAT